CTGACCCCCACTGCCTGAAGGCCAGGTCTATTACATTTCATTTCTCCCTCAGAGTTCTCCTTAAGGGTACCCTTACAAGGGCTAGGGAGTGTCGCGTCTCTGCTATTTGTTTCAAGCCCTCACCAATTGTGTTCCCTCCACTTTAAGGGTCACTTGCACCCCAGTTCCATAACATCGAGATTAGCTTTTATAAAAGAATATTTACTTCAAAGGTAGCTATACCTTTGAACATTCACTCTCAATCCTTCCAAGGCACACCCCCCCCCTTATATCCCAACAATCCCTGGGCAGGGGAGGGGGATCAGGTTCCCAATTTCACTCAGTTTCTCCCCTGGACCTGCATCCTAGCTGCCTGATGGGCTAGCAGCAACATCTGGCCTGGAATTCTACCTTTAAGATCATCATGGTTCCAGTTTCCAGGTCCAGAGAGTCCAATGTCCAATCCCACAGAACCGAAAAGGACAAATGAAACAGACCAAAACCCCAAACTCAATTCTCAGAGGCACAAGGAAAAGGTGATGAGAGCCTTCCTCCCACAGCTCAGTGAATGGTGCCTATGATTTGGGTGAATAGGTCCTTTACACCAGGGACCCTGACAAAAAAGAAAGATTTCAGTAGGGTAGTTTTAAAGATGCAGCCTGTTTTAGCTATGCCGCCAATGAAGAAGCTGCTCCCATCTAAGTGGGAGTGGAATGCAGAATGGCTTTCCCCAGAATCAGATTCTCCACTATCTCCCCAATTGCTGCCTCCATCTTAGGTGATCTGGGCATGTTCAAAGCCCAGTTACATTGATTACTGTATTTTAATATGTTTTCCTTTATAATCCTATGTATTTTATGCATTTAAAAACATTTTTTACTTCAAGAAGGGGTCCATAAGTTTCACCAGACTGCCACGGGGATCCATGACACCAAAAAGATTAAGAAAGCCTGCTCTAAAACCACCAGCAATCTAGTTGCCAGATTGGATCACCTGGTCACCTGGCAGCTAGGTGGGCCTGGAGTCTGGAAAACCTGAGTTCAAATCCAGCCTCAGATAGCTACTAGCTGTGTGTCCCTGGGTAAGTCACTTTTAACCCATCTGCCTCAATTTCCTCAACTGTAAAATGGGGTTAATAAGAGCACCAACTTCCCAGGGCTGTCACAGAAGATCAAATGAGGTACTACTATATTTGTAAAGTGCTTAGCACAGTGCCTGACACACAGTAGGGACTTATTAAGTACTTGTTTCTTTCCTTCCTTTTCTCATCCTCATCCTTCTTGATCTCTCCATTGCATTTGACACTTGACCAATCTTTCGACTTGAATACTCTCTCATCTCAAGGTTTTCATACTTGTGTATCTTCTCTTAAAGCTGGTGACTAAAGAACGCTGAAAAGAGTGGATCTCTCTCCTCTCCCATTCTTATCAACTCTCACTGAGTTGTCTCTCTCCCAGTAGGAGAGCTCCTTCAATCTGTATTGTCATATATATATGTGTACACACACACACACACACACACACTTTCTCTGATTTGTTTTGCTATTGACTTGGCACATAGTACCATATAAATGTTAGCTATTTGCTAGGTGTGCATCATGTAACTGGTATTTAGTGACTGGAAAGGAGTCAAACCTTAGCTATAAAACTTGCCCCAGCTCCACTTTCCCCTACAGGAAACAGCAGTCAGAAGTTTGACTTAGACTTTAAAATCTACCACCTCTATCACAGGCACAGGGCATTGATCTCCACCAATGAGAAGTCCCAGATCAATGAGCTTGGGGACTCAGCTTATACCATTCAAGGTGCCACTTATGCAGGCTCACAACCTCCTTGTCATCCGAGATTACTCATTCTCTCTCACCATCTATATCCAATCTGTTATTTTACTTTGATAACATTTTTTCTTCTGTGCTCCTTTCCTTCCTCTGACACCATAACCATCCTGGTACTACAGGTCCTCTCACTTCACACCTGGATTATTGCAATAGCTGCTGATGGGTTGGCCTGCCTCAAATTTCTTCCCAATCTAATCCATCTTCTACTCAGCTGCCAGAGTGATCTTCCTAAATCACAGGTGTGGCCATGTCACAGACACACAGACACACACCTCTCAGTAAACTCCAGTGCCTATTGCCTTCAAGATCTAATATTAAATCCTGTGTCTGATATTCAAAGTCCTTATAACCAGCCACTCCTCCCCCTACCATTTCCAGTCTTCTTACATTTTCCACCCCCAAGCCCGGTTACTCACCCCTAAGCCCAGTTACACCAGTTTACTTGATGTTCCTCACACATGATAGTCCTCTGACTCCAGATATTTTCACCAGCTCTCTCAGGGGCCCGAAATTTTTTCCTTCCTCGTTTCTCCCTCTTGGCTTCCTTTATGTCTCTGATAAAATCCCACCTCCTACAGGAAGCCTTTCTGATCTTAATTCTAGTTTCTTCCCTCTAGTTATTACTTCTAGTTAATTTTGTAGCTGTCATTTGTACACAGTTGGTTGTGCACATTGCCTCCCCTATTAGGCTGTGAGCTCCAGGAGAGCAGAGAGGGTCTTTTGCATTTCTTTGTATGTCCAGCACCCAGCACAGCGCCTGGAACAGAGGCACTAATAGCACAGGCTTAACAAACGTCTGATTGACTTGTAGGTCTCTTTTGTATACTGTCTTTCCCCATTAAAAGTAAGCTCTTTTAGAACAGTATTTGCATCTCCAATGCTCAACACAATGCCCAGCACAAAATACGCCCTTAACAAAATGTTGGTTTCCTTCTTTCCTAGCCCTGGGAGACAATACTCACTAGACTGGCTCCCAGTTCTTCTCCCATTCCTTCTCAACTGGTTCATCATCCAGCCCAATCCTGGAAGTGCAGGTGTTGCCCAAGGCTGTGTTCTAGGTCCTTTTATCTCTCTCCAGGCTCTCACTTGGTGACATCACCAGCCGTCATGGGCTTAATGGTCACTACGCAGACAATTTTCCCAGATCTATATATCATGCTCTGGTCTCTGTCCAGAGCCTCAGTCTAATATTGCTAATTACCTATTGGATATTTCCAACTGGATGTTCCAGAGCCATCTCACACCTAAACAAAAGCCATTATCTTCCCCCCACCAAAAAAAAAAAAAAATACCCCACCCCTCTACTAAACTTCCCTCTTTCTGTTGAAGGCCCTTTGAGCCTCCACTATCTCTTAAGTCTGTCCAAGCTCATGGCTGTTGTTTTCCACCTTTGGACCTAAGGGGCTCATCTTCTGATGTCATCTCTTTTATCATTGTAATACTGTCCTTGAGGTTTTCTTGGCAGAGATACTAGAGTGGTTTATCATTTCCTTCTCCAGTGGATCACCTTGACCTGTCTTGGGTAAGCCTGCACAGCACAGCTCATAGTTTCACTGAGCTAAGCAAGCCCCTCCACTGGTACAAGGCAGTGGTCCAAGAGGCAATCAGATGCCAAATCTTGACATTGCTACCTCCAGGACACCTCTCAAGTTCAACTCCTTTTCTCTACTCAACATAGATACCATCTTAGTTTGGCCTGATCACCTGTCAATTAGAATTTTTTTTTTTTTGTCAACTAGAATATTGCAGTGGCCTCTGACAATCTTTCTCACTACTCATCTTCCACATGGCGGCCAGGACTTTCCATAGGTATACAACCATGTGACCTACTCAATGGACTCCAGTTGTTCCCTATTACCTCTAGGATGCCTGGTTTTTCAAGCCTCTCCCAATCTAGCTTTCCCCTCCTCATTATACACTACTTCCCTTCTAGCCCTCTTTAGAGGCTTTAGCCCATCCAAATTGGTCTTCTCCCTGTCCCTCTCATATTTCCATCTCAGGGGTCTTTCCTGCCTTTTCACTGGCTAGAATGCACTCCCTCAGGAGCAGCTAGGTGGCGCAGGAGATAGAGCTCCGGCCTTGGAGTCACGAGGACCTCAGTTCAAATTTGGCCTCAGACACATAACACTTACTTACTAGCTGTGTGATCCTGGGCAAGTCACTTAACCCCGACTGCCTCACTTAAAAAAATAGAATGCACTCCCTCCTTACCTAAACCTCCTTCAAGACACAGGTCATACCACCTCCTACATAGGATGCTTTTCAGCTTCTCTCTCTACTCATCTATTATGTTGTATTTAACAACCATCATTTTTTAAGATTCACGCTGTATATAGAAGGTCATGGATCTCTTTGTGTCTCTTGTAGTGGGATCACTGAGAGGCAAATGCAGTTTAGTTACTTTTGGCCATATCGCTTTTCAGAATGTTTGGACCAAGTCACAGCTGCCACAATAATGCACTAGTGTGGCTGGCGCACCCATGCCACCCCGACAACACCAATGGATCCTTCTCCTACTCCATAATCTTTGCCCATTTATTCTGTGTGAAACCTCGGACAGACTGCCCAGGCTTTGGCTGACCCTGCTGTGGGAGAGCCCTGGGTTGGAGAGGAGGGGCAGCCCGATGCAGGGGTGGGGTGAGGAAGAGACCACCAGCTGGGGGGGGGGTAGAGGTGCTGCCTGTGGATGGAAGGGCAGTGAGGCCACCAACCAGCCAGAGGTGGGATGAGGGGGTCAGAAGGGCTGCCGTGTGGTGTGGGGGTGTGGGGGTGTGTGTGTGTGTGTGTGTGTGTGTGTGTGTGTGTGCGCGCGCGCGCGCGCGGGTGGAAGGTCCGAGACAGACGAACCCACTCGGAGTCAGAACGATTGTCTTGCGCTTGGGTTTGTGTGTGATAAACCTGCCAGCCCCAGAGGTGGGGGGAGAATCAGAGAGGCCGCTCATCCTGGGGGGTAGGGGAGGCAGAGAAACCTCTCGATTGTGGGGGGATGGGTTGGGAGAGACCACCCGCCAAGAGGGGAGGTGGGAGGGTCAGAAGGGCTGCGTGGGGCGTGGGCTCTTCCCAGGCCCGCGGCCCCCGCCGCCTCACGCACAGAGGTCGCTAGGACGACCGGCCGAGCCGAGCGCCCTCAGGCCTCTGTGACGTAGGCCGGCTGCGGGCCGGCTTCCCCGCCCCCGTCCCCACCTCGGCCTCTTTCCCAGCCGCAGTGGGAATGGAAACATCTGTACCACGTGCAGGCAACCAAGCGTCGGGATCTCGGCTCTCCACCTCCCACCGCTACGAACCCCAACGCTCCTCCTCGCGAGATGAGCTCGAAGACATGGCCGCCTCGAACCAAGGTGGGCCCGGGGGGGCACCGGGGGGCCGTAGCCGAATGGGGAGGCGGAAGAGGACGGGAAAGCTGGGCAAGCCGCCCACACGCGCGGGAACCTTCGGGGGTCGAAGTCCGAGCCGGGGTGGGAGGGGAAAGGAAGGGAGGGAGGGAGGGAACGGAGCGAGGGCGAGGGGAGGAACGAGGGGAGAGAGCAGAGCGAGGTGCCGCAGTGCACGCTGGGGCGGGAGGCCCTTCAGCGCGCGCGCCCTCCCCCGACCCCTCCCATCAGGTCGCTCTCCTAGCTTCCCTAGCCGGCACCCTCCTTAACCTTGGCTGCTTTTGGCCCCTGCTCTCTAGAGTTATACGAAGCAGTCAGGCCTCTCGGTGGGGAAACTGAGGCGCGGCGGCCTGGCCGGTAGGGAGGTAGGTGCCTTGGCCCACCTGCCCAGCGGAACTGTCAGGAGACCTTTTTCGGCCAATAACCAGGGCCAGGAACCCCCTCCATTTTTGAAAGGGAGGGGAAGGCACTTGGCTCCCATGGCCACCCAGTCCTTCCGGGGTGGAGAGCCCGGCTTCCTGGCTTGCATTTCGCCCAGTGTGTCCTTGGTCTGTGCTGTGCCCCATCACCCTTTGGCACGGGCGGGGCAGGCTGGGCTGGGGAGCAGAAATCCCACTGTTAACTGTTAGGGACTGGGATTCATTCGACCAGTGGCGCCCCCTTTGGGAACTTGGGCAACTTACGTACTGGATCTCATCATCTTTAGATGATCTCTAAGGCCCCTGCTCTTTCTAAAGCCTAGAATTGGATCCTTATTTGACTCCTGAATACTGACAGTGTTTCTTTTTCCTAAGTCTTCCTAAAGCAGCAGACAGCATGGTAGAGTGCTGTTCTTGGAATCAGGAGAGACTTGGATCCTAATCCTGCCAATCAATGGGCATTCAGGGCTGTGTGGCCATGGACAACTGGATTCTCTGTACCTCCTCCTTCATCTCCAAAGTTAAAATTAGAATAACCTTGACACCTGCCTAACAAGGTCACTGTAACAATCGAATGAACAGTAAAGCAGGATATGAGATTTTCTTGCTTTGGAAACTCCTTTAACTCACACAGATCATACCTGACATAGTCTTAGTTGCCTGAGTGTCCAAGAAACCAAGTGACCTGCCTAGGGTCACACAGCTAGTAAAGGTCAAAGCCAGAATTGGCTCTTCCTTAGTCCAGCATCAACTGATTAACTCTACCCATGATACCTTTCTGTAAAAGCACCACATTATTACCATTTAATTTTCAACTTAGAGACAATGCTCCCCTTTTTTTGGGGGGGGTAAAACAAATCTATAACTTGGGAATTTATTCAAATTCCTCTTAAACCAGTTCTCAGTCTGTGCCATCTATTGGAATGATATGTTCCATAATTTTTAGGATATAGTGAATGATTGAATGAAATTACTTTGTATCACTGCTCAGAAAACTCAGTTTAACAATTGTTTTTGTAGAGTATGTTCTTGTCAGATATGACATTGGTCATAACCCAGAAACAAATTCAAATTTTAGATATAGTATTTTGGGGCAGCTAGGCTGAAGTGGATAGAATGCCTGACCTGGAGTCAGGAAGACCTGAATTCAAATCCGGCCTCAGACACTTACTAGCTGTGTGTGTGTGACCCTGGGCAAGTTGCTCAACCCTGTTTGCCTCAGTTTCCTCATCTGTAAAATGAGCTGGAGAAGGAAATGGCAAACCACTACAGTATCTTTGCCAACCAAACCCCAAATGGGGTCACAGAGGCAGACACACTGAAAAACGATTCAAAAACAACAAAAGCATTCAAGGCCATCCATGATTTGGCCCTAACCTGCCCTTCCAGCTGCATCTCCCATTGCTTGCCTTCATATACTAAGTACTCCAGCCAAACTGAAAACCACTCAATCTTCAGATACACTGCATGATTTTCTGCCTCCATGCTTTTAGTTATGTTATTTCTCCTGTTGGAATTTCCTTCTTCTCCTTCAGCTCTCACTCACCTGGCACAAGCCTTCCCAACTTAGATACAATCTCCTCTGTGGAGCCTTCCATATTCCGCAAAGTATTTTCCCTTCCCCTACTCATCTCTCTTCTCACCTGGAACAGGACTTTGTATCTTTATTATATTTTCGTGTTATATTTTATGCTGTCATACCACAGCTATTTTTGTGTAGCGTCCTTCAGTTTCACAAACTAGGTATCATCCTCCCTCCCCCATGTCTAGTCTGGTACCAAGGCCTGTCATCTCTAACTTTGTAACATCTCTCCAAATTTCCCCTTCTCCCTTCTGACACTGCCACTACCCTGCTTCAAGCCCATATCACCTCACACCTGGACTATTGATATAGGTTGGTCTCTATCCTCCATTCAGCCACCAGAGTGATTTTCCTAAAGCTCAGGTCTGATCATTTCACTGCCCCTACTCCTGTGGCTCCCTGTGACCTCCAGAATCACATACAAATGTTCTTTTTGGCATTCAAAGTCCTTCATAACCCAGCCCCTTCCCACCCACACTCTTGGATCCACTGGCCTCCTGGCCATTCCACCAGCAAGACTCCATTTCTCGACTCCTGGCATTCTCTCTGGCTGAACTCCATGCCTGGAAAATGTTCTCTCTCCTCCACTGTTGACCTCCCTGACTTCCTTTAAGTGTCAACTAAAATCCCACCCTCTACAGGAGGCCTTTCCCAACCCCTCTTATTCCAGTGCCTTCCTTCTCCTGGATATAGCTTATTTGTTTGTTTATTGTCTCCCCTGTTAGATTGTGAGCTCTTGGAGCTGTCTTCTGCCTCTTTTTTGTATCCCTAGTGCTCAGCACAGTCACTCCTGGCACACAATAGGTGCTTAATCACTGCTGGTTGACTTGAAGAAAGTAGACTTAGAGTCAGAAGACAGGCTTCAATTTGGGTCATGGGATGTAGAGTAAATCATCAGAGCTCTGTCCTCAGTTTCCTCATCTGCAAATTCTTGTTAATATTTGTACTACCTACCTCTCAGTGTTGTCAGGAAGAAAACTTTTTGTAAATAGTAAAGAGTCATATAAAAATTTGGAACTCAAAATCTTGTGGATGTAAATGTTAAAAACTAAAAATTAATTAAAAATAAAAATAAAAGAGTCATATAAATGTGAGACATTATTATTGTACTGCTCCTTCTCCTAATCCAAAAGCTCCTGACATCAGGGTTTGCGTCTTTGCATTTTTTGTATTACCTAGCATTTAGTAGGTTTTCTACAAATATTTTGTGATTTGATCTTAATTTAGTTTGTTCTGTTACCCCCCAAAATTTCACTTGTTCACTCTCCATGTCTCTAGCAAAATTTGATGGGAATTTTGACACCCTTGACCTTGCTGAATTTGCTAAGAAGCAGCCGTGGTGGCGGAAGCTGTTTGGACAGGACTCGGGGCCCTCTGCCGAGAAGTACAGTGTGGCCACCCAACTCCTGATAGGCGGGGTCACTGGCTGGTGAGTGACAGCACCGGAGGCGGGTGGGGGTTCCAAATGAACCTCGCTCTTTGAGTTAGGCCCCTAGTGATTCCACTTGGCTCAAGGCCTGGGCTGGACCTCATACAATTGGATGGCTCACTTTAGGTGCCATTTCCTCCATAAAGCTTTCTCCCTCATCTCCCCACCTAGGGCAAGTCTCCTCTGCCTTTCAGATCTAGTCTAACTTCTGTCATGAGGATCTGGTGAAAAGGATCTGTGAGGAGGGCATGCTGGCTAGATCTGAGAAGGGACCCTGAAGGCTAGTCATGGAAGGTAGAATCATGGAGGTTCCATTGCTAAAAGGGACCTTAGCAATCATCCAGGCCAAACAGCTCCATTTGCAGGCTTCATGAAGGAAGTGGGGGCCTCACCCAATCCAGTTCCCCTGCCCCCTACTCCACTGGCTACCATCCCCACTAGCTTTCTTCCCTTTTGTGGCTAAATTTGAGTCAGTGCCTCCTCTTCCTTCTAAACCCTCTGCAGTTCAGCATCTGACCTTATTCTGCTGAAACTGCCCTCTCCAAAGATCTCAGTGATTTCTTCATTGCCAAATCCCATGGCTTTTTCTCAGTCCTCAGCCGCCTTGCCTCTGTAGCTTTGGATACTGTTAATCACATCTCTAGGTTTTCATGTCATTGCATTCTTTTGGTTCTCTTCCTACCTATCTGATCTCAACTTCTCCAAGTTACCTCTGCTAAACATAGGTGTCTATTTTGGTTTTGGGGTTTTTTTGCAAGGCATTCGAGAGTTAAGTGACTTGCCCAGGTCACACAGCTAGTAAGTATCAAATGTTAGAGTTCAGATTTGAACTCAGGTCCTCCTGACTCCAGGCCTGGTTCTCTATTCACTGCGTCACCTGGCTGCCCAAATGGGTGTCTATTCTGTCTTGGGCCCCCTTCTCCTCTCCTTCTAGACTATCTCCCTCAATAATCTGATTGCTCCTATGGGTTCACTGATCATCTCGATGCAGATGATGTGCAGATGTGTTTATCCTGGTGGACAGGCAGACAACAACCATGGATTAAGCATTTCCTTTGTCTACCCCAAGCACTAAGGCACTGTGCTAAGTGTTGGGGTATAGATACAAGGAGAAAGACGATGTTCTGAATGTGAAATCATTTAGAAAAGTTATAAGCACCATTTAAAGCGGTCATACACATTATTGAGTCATTGTTGTAGACAGCCCCCAGCTTCAGCATGGGCTGTGTTCCAAATGTGATCATCTATGTGTCACTTGTTTGGGAAAATGGGTTTCATATTCCAAATAAACACTATTTTCAGTGCTGGGTTGTTAGGTTTCCGGGCCAGGCTCACAAACCTTCCTGTAAGTGAGCCCCAGTGGTAGGGGCAGCTTGGGGAGGGGAGGGCAGGAGGGTGGTGCTGCCAAGACTGGCCCTCAGGGTGTGGACAGGTCAGAAGACAGGTGTTTGACCCGGGACTCCTCCTGTGCCATTGCTCACTCAGTTATGGATAGAAAGTTCCAAAACACTGAGTGCATATGTTTCTGTGAAATGTTTTGGAAATGTAGTCACTGTGCTGAAGACCCTCAAACAAAGCAGTTTTCAAAACCTGCAACCGTATAAAAGTAGCATTTAAAAAACATTTATATCTGGAGAAAACATAGTTTAAATTGAGGCCTGTTCACAGCTCTAAACACCTTATAAACCTCTTCTACCTTGGGATCTCTTCTCCTGATTGCTCTTCTAGGGCTGCATTCATTCTACAGTGTCTCCTGAGTATGAATGTCATCTCTTTGTTTTATTTTGTAGGTGCACAGGTTTCATCTTCCAGAAAGTTGGAAAATTGGCAGCAACAGCAGTGGGTGGTGGATTTTTCCTATTACAGGTCTGTATGGAGAACATGAAATGAGCTTAGGCTTCATAGGATATTAGCTTTAGAGTTGGAAGGGAGCTTAGAGGCCAACCCTAAACAACTAAGGAAATTGAGGCCCAGAGAGGGTTAAGCAACTTGTCCAGGGTCACAGAGGTAGGAAGTGGCAGAGATGGGATGGAAATCTGGAATATGAGAGGGAGAGATGAAATGACAACATTATAATGTGATAGAGGGATTTCAGAAGCCGATGGAAGTGGTACATTGTGGGCAATGGCAAAGTCAGGGGCGTGACTCTCTCTGTAGGGGGCTGAGGTGGGGTGCAGGAGCAGCTTGTGGGAAGTGAGTAGATTGAGGAATTGGGAGGTTAGAGTGTTTGAGAGAGTATCAGTATATATGTATGTTGAATCCTCTAGTAAGAGATCAGGAATTGGGGAGGGGAGAGACTGAACAAGGCACTGAATTCGTTTGAGGAAAAGAAGGTGTGTGTCCTGAAGATGTGTAGACAACAGCTATCAGAATCTTGATTGGGTAATAAAAATAAATATGAACCTCAAAGGAAAAGAGGTTACTAAAATGATGGGGTAGAAGGAGAGCCTGTAGTAGGTAGCAATGGGAAATAAGGGGTGTTCCCACTCCTTTACCATGACCACTGTATTAGTGGATATGAGTGAAAGGGATGAGAAGGGAAGCTGTGTCATTAGGAGAGAGCCAGGTCTCAGTGGGTACAGGAAGATGGAGGGAGCAAGAAAGGAAAAGGTTTACAATGAAATCCAGTTTGTTACCAATGGAACAGGCATTCCAGAAGGCACCATGAAAGGAGTGGGTAGATCTGGAGTGGGAGATTAAGGGACTTGGATAAGGGGATGGAAGCAAGCAGTAAGGGCTAGAGAATGAAGTTTGAACAGTGGCAACCAGCAGTTCAGAGTCACTAGGATGGGGTGGCTATGATGGTATGGAAGTATGTTAATCATTAAGGAATGAGTTCAGGTAGGTTATTGTCCACAGGGGTTTGTCCTTGGGTGGAGTTGTCCAGGGGCATGAGGCAGCTGTGTATGGCTGGAAAGGTGGAGGGGGGGGTTGCCAGAAAGTGTGAAGGGTGCTCAGGGTGGTACAAGGCAGGCCTGACAGTTGTAAGTGGCTGTACCTAAAGGGTACCTGGGCTGTACTAGCTGTACTGTCTCTGATTTGACATTGATCCATTAATGACTGTTATTTGGGGCTGGCTGTTCTAAAGCAGTGCTTCTTAAATTGTGGCTCCTGATCCCATATGGCGACAGTAAAAGGTTTCTAAATGAGCAACGACCAAAAATTAATTCAAAATCAAATGTGTAATGAATCAGAGATGTTTTTGGCAGCAGCCCTCGCCCAGGTTGCGGTGAGCAACTTCATTTCAGCCTTGGTTCTGAATGTAAAGCATGTACACTTTTCACTTCGAGTGCCCTCAGGCCATGCAACACCAACCAACACTGCTGAAACTGGAAAAGGAATCCCAAGTAGAAAAAGTTTAAGAAGCCCAGCTTTATAACATTTCCCATCTAGCCAACATCTCTCTATGTATGTCAACTACTGTGATGGCATGAGAGACTTAGGTGCTTTGCTGAAGTCTAGGTATACTGTCTAGCAGTTTATCGTAGCCCTTGTAGTAATCCTGTTAGAACCAGTGATTACTACTTCCTTAAATGCTTACAAACCATCTCTTTAATGAGATGTTCTGCAATTTTTCCAGGAATTCAAGACAAGCTTACTGACCTATCATTTGTAGAATCTGCCCTCTTTCCTCTTCTGAAAATTGAGATATTTGCCCTTCCCTGGTCTCGTAGTATTTCCTGCTCTCCACAGGTGAGCATTTGGGTGAAACTCACTGGAGGGGAAGAGAAGAAGCATTGTTGTTATGGAAGTGTGCCTCAGCTTATCAGAAGGAGTCATTGAGCTGAAGACTTTGGGCAGCAGAGACATCACAAACTTGCCATGGAGGCCTGGGGTATTGGGGCTGCAGAATGTCAGTTAGCCCTTCATCTGCTGGAGCTTGCTTACTCTCTGCCAAAAGCAGAGTTTTCAACTGCTCAATTTTGCCATTTCCTTAATGATAATTTCATTCTTCAAAAGATGGAGGAAGCAACAAAGTGAACCTGCTGTTCCTAAACAGATTTCTATCCAACAAAGTGAGATAGGTTGCTAAAATAGAAATGATGGAAAATTTGCGGGCAAGTGACCATTTCATTTTAGAATTCATGATAGAAAAGGGAAAGGCAAGCCAGGCATAGTTTGATGCACCTTAGATTTTGAAAAATCAGTAAGTATTTATTAAGCATCTCCTAAGTGTCTGGCCCTGTGATAAGCACTGGGAATACAAAGAAAGGCAAGATCCAGCCCTTGCCCTCAAGACCTGACAGTCCTTGACAACATGCAGACACTTATGTATAAACAAGCTCTGGATGGTAAATTGGAGCTAATCATCAGAGGAAAGATACTAGCATTAAGAGAGGGCAGGAAGGGCTTCCTCTTGAAAATGGGATGCAGAGATGAGGAGGAGAGCATTCCAGGCATGGGGAGGGGGGCAGCTAGAGAATATCTAGAGTCGCAAGATGGAGGGTCTTATTCAAGGAGTAGCAAAGAGGCCAGGGTCACTGGATCAAGGAGTGGGTGTGTGTGTGTGTGTGGGTGTGGGTGTGTGTGTGTGTGTGTGTGTGTGTGGGTGTGTGTGTGTGTGTTAGGAGGGAGGGTGTAGAGTAGAAGATTGGTGAGGTTTGGGGATTGGGGTTAGTTAAAAAGGGCTTTGAATGTCAAACAGAGCATTCTGCATTTACTCCTGGAGGCGATAGGGAGCCACTGGAGTTTATTGAGAGGAGTGGGACGTGGTTGAACCCGGAGCTTTTGAAAAATCACTTTAGTGGCTGAATGAAGACCAGACTGGGACAGATTTTAAAGGATTCAGTGATAGGATGCCATGACCTGAGCATGAATTTTTAAAAATGTATTCTTTTTTGGTTTTATACCACTTTCATTTCTAAATAGATCCCTCTCTCCTGCCTTACTTACCCAGTGAACCATCTCTTACAGCAAAGAATACGAAAAAAAAAAGAGGAAAAACTAGCTTAGCTGAACTTATCTATTTAGCAAAACTTGCTGCCCCATGAACTGAGGCTGACAGTTTATACAAGATTCCCTCAGCTCTTAGTGCCTTCCCCTGGAAAGAGAAGCTACTAGACTTTCCATGTTGTACCTATTTACATTCATATCGTCTCTCCCATTAGGATGTGAACGCTTTGAAGGCAGGGGCTAGGTTTGCCTTTTCTTTGTATCCCCAGTTCTACGTGGTGCCTAGCCCATAGTAAGTGCTTAATAAATGCTATGTCATTGATTGATTTTTCTGTATACAGTCCCCCACTCTTGCACGGAAGGGAAGGAGAGGAATTTTCTCTTCTCTGGAGATTCAAGAATCACATTATGAAAATGCAAATAGAAATAATTTTTGAGGAGGGGGAGATGTCTAGAGAGAGTGATCTGGATCCAGAGAGAACTCACCAGACCAGCGCAGAGTTTGAAAAGACATCTCTAGGAGATGGAAGCAAAGGTAATTAATAGGTGATGAAAAAAAGTAGCAACATCCTGTAAGGGTAGTGTCAGGAACACTCCACCTCAGTGTGCTGAGGCAAGCAGTGCTGGGCATATTTAGCTTAGAGATGAGAATATTCCAAGGATACGTGAGAGTTGGGTTCCAGTATTTGATGGGCTGTTATGTAGAAAAAGGATTAAGTTTGTTTTGCTTCACCCCAAATGACAGAAAATGGAGAGAAGCCACTAAAAGGTAAATTTGGGGCTTAAAGTCAGGAAAAATGGTCTTAGCAAAGCTATCCCAAAGTGGAATAGGAAAAAACTGTGGGAGAAGGGATTCCCTTCCGTCTTTGAGATTTTGTTTAAAAAAAAAAAAAAAGGTAAATAAAACAAACAAAAATAATCACAAGGAGCTTGCAGAGACATTACAAGAGAAGAGATGCCACAACGTGGCAAATGGTTTGTGACCAACAGAGTGATAATATAGACAACGTAGCAGTTCCAGGGAGGTGGTCAACTGATGGCTTCATGAAGAAGGGGAATTTGGGAAGGTAGAGAATGAGCATTTTAGAGAGGGAACAAAAGGCCATAGTCTTGAATAGACGTGGTGAGTTTGGAGAACGAAAAGGTGACACTCTGGACTGAAGTACAGGGCACTTTTAGGCTGGAAAGTTAGATAGACAATGAAAGCTAGCACCTCCCTCTTAGAAAGTTGGTGAACTGCAAGTGTGCAGTGAGTTATGTTGTATAACATGATCAGTGCACCTGTTTTGCTTAACTGTACTTTGTTATGTCATTTCCTTCTCCAGCTCATTTGACAGATGGGGAAACTGAGGCAGACAGGATTAAGTGACTTGCCCAAGGTCACACAACAAGTGTCCGAGGCCAAGTTTTAACTCAGGTCCTCATGACTCCAGGACTGTACTTTATCCACTGTGCCTCGTAGCTGCCCCATTAATAATAATTGCTTTAGATAAAGAACCACTTATCAAATCTAGATTATTTTAGGGTGATTGCTTTTTCCTACAGATAAATGCTTTAATTTAAATTTAGGAGTAGAGATTGTAAGACTTGAATGACTTTAGCAAATACCTAAAAAGGTGTTCTGACCAATTATGTAGGGAGGAAGAAGGAAGAGTTGAGATAGAAAAGGTAGATGGTTGAGAGGGAGAGGAGAGTGGGGAAGGAATAGAGGGAGAGAGATGTAGGGAACTCAGTAAGTTTGAGGGTGTTAGGTGGCCATACTCAGTTCACCTGAGCTATGGCCTTTCAGAGATTTGATCTCAAAATTTGAGTTCAGTGTTGGTAAGATTGAACCGAAGCTGTCTCCTTTGCCTGTCTATTCCTAGTCCCATTTCAGTGGGCCCAATCCCAAGCCTTCTCCATTCTGCCTCAAACAAATGGCCAAGACAAGTCAGTAAATCTGATCTGGGAGCCACACCAAGCATTGAGGGACAACTGTGAAAGAGAAAGGAAATAACACAGTTTTGCAGAAGTACCACATGTGTCAGAGATAGGTAAGTTTGCCCTGGAGAATCTATGTGAAAAGAAGAGGTTTTTGGTTAGTAAAGAGAGAAGAAAGGTGATAGATGGTCTATTGGGATACAAACCTTCATTTGGGTTTATTTCAGCTCTCAGACACCGAAGCCTCGAATGAATGCTGGAAAATCAGAAAGTTCTATTTAGATGACATCATTTATTTAAGAAATTCTTCTCTTTCCTATCTCTCTTTTAATCTTCCAAAATACAGATCGCAAACCATACTGGTTACATCAAGGTAGACTGGCAGCGAGTTGAGAAAGATATGAAGAAAGCCAAGGAGCAGCTGAAAATCCGAAGGAGCAACCAGCTCCCTACAGAGGTGAAGAGCAAAGCCGAGGAGGTAAAAAAGCTGCTTTGTGAACCTCCTTTCTGACCCCCCCCCCGGGGCGCAGAAAAATAGGATAAACCCACCAAGAAGTCTCATGGAGGCAGCTCAAGGCCGAAATGCTGCAGGGCGGAGAGCTCCTAGTCAAGCTCACTTGGAGCAATATTGACTTAGTGAATGGTCTCTTCCCCATTTAATCAGTTTGAGCAGTGAGCTGCTGACGTGGCTGGATCCCGTCCATATACCTTTTTCCTGGTCAAAACAATTTCCCAAAGTTACAGACATCTCATGGCTCCATGCCTTCCAAGCTCCAATTAGCAGGCCAGTTGGCTTCAACTAATATTTGTCTTTTGCAAAACTTAAACAATAATTAGTACAAAGGAAGCCCCTCTTTGGTGGCAGTTTTGAAAGGAAAGGATTGACTTTTCCGTCATATGTTAAGCATTTTGGAAGTGCAGGCTTGGTACTAGGGAGCAGTCTCCTAAGCATCTGTATCCTGCTCATGCCTGAGTGAGTTCTCTCCATACTGTGGCAGCTGTGCCCAATCAGGAGGATGGTCACAACCACCAGCATTTTCTTAAATACTTTCTTACCGAGCACTTTGCTCCTGTCTCTAAAGGGACCAGATAATTGATCCCCTCATTTTACTGAGGTCTGGGGAGGGGAAGGGACTTGCCCATGTTGACATAGTAAGTGACAGAAACAGGATTTGAACCCAGGTCATCTGACTATAGGAGCCAGTGCTCTTTCCACCATTCTACTCAACAGCTGCCTGTACATTTGTATGGGGCTTAGATTTTTCTCTGTAACTGGTATATTTTACCTTTACAAAAGTCCAGTTTTGATGCCTCGTCACGGTATAGGAACTCTAGGCCCTGGAGGGCTCAACCAGAGGAACTCAAGTCAGTGTCTCTGTTCTCTGAGGACCAGCCTGGCTAAATTAGGAAAGGGCTGGTACCAGGTTGGCCACAAGCAATTATGTATTCACCTACACCAACTCTCATAGACCCTCTACGAAGCCAAAAAAGAAGTATGATTTGCATTAGTCGAGAGAGTGAATTTCTTTTTTTTTTTTTTTTTTTTTTTAGGCAATTGGGGTTGAGTGACTTGCCCAGAGTCACACAGTTAGTACATGTCAAGTGTTGGGTCTGAGGCCGGATTTGAACTCAGGTCCTCCTGACTTCAGGGCTGGTACTCTATCCACTGTACCACCTAGCTGCCCCAAGAGAGTGAATTTCACCAATTCACCAGTGAAATCATGGATCCTTGAAATATTGAAGTGTGCACACACAAAGATCACATATGTTGTCTATTTGTCTTATGTTTCTTATAAGCATTTTGCAAGGGAAGTCTTACTGGGAAGTAGCACAGCCAAGTGGAAAGATTTACTAGGTATGGGCTCCATTCCAGGTCTGACACTGACTATCTCTGTGACCCAAGTCAGTCCTTAACCTTTGTGAACCTCAGTTTCCTCACCTGTAAAAAGAGAAGTTCAGGCTAGGTGATTTCCCTTTTGGCTATCACATTTTTTGATTCATTCATTCAGCAAATAATGCACATAGACTGAGAAATCTTCCTATCCTGCCCCAGCCTCTCTGCTGACCTCCAGTCTCACGTCTCCAATTGCCTTTCAGACATCTCAAACTGGATGTCCAGTAGACATTTTAAACTTATTATGTCCAAAATGGAACTCATTATCTTTCTCCTTAAACCCTTGCCCCCCTCCTACCTTCCCTGTTACTGTAGAGGGCAGCACCATCCTTTCAGTCTCCCAGGCTTACAACCCAGGAATCATCCTAGACTCTTCACTGTCTCTCACCGTGCCATATCCCACATGGTGCTAAGACTTGTTGATTTCACCTTCGAAACATCTCTTGAATATGCCCTTTTCTGTCCTCTGACATGGCCCCCACCCTGGTACAGATGCTCATCACCTCACACCTGCATTATTGCAGTAGCTGCTGGGCTGGGGGGAGGGAGGGAAGAGGGTTTGCCTGCCTCAGGCGTCTCCAATCCATCCTCCATTTAGCCACAGAAGTGATCTTCCTAAAGTACAGGTCCAATCATGTCACTTCCCTACTCAATAAACTTCAGTGGCTCCTTATTGCCTCCAGGATTAAATATAAAATGCTGTTTGGCATTCAAAGCCCTTCATAACCAAACCCTCTCCTACCTTCCCAGTCTTCTTACACCTTACTCCCTGACATTTAGTTTTCAATCCAGTGACATCAGACCCTCCATCTCTCAGCTGTAGGCATTTCCTCTGGCTGTGCCCCATCCCCGGAATGTTCTCTCTACACTCCAAATACTGACCTCCCTGATCCTTTTAAGTCCCAACTAAAATCCCACCTTTTCCCGGAAGCCTTCTGCCACCCCTTTTAATTTCCCCTCTTTTTATTATTTCCTACTTACCTGGTACGTAGGTTGCTTTTTAAGTATTTGTTTGTATATTGTCTCCCCCGTTAGATTATAAGTTCCTTGAGGGCAGGAACTGTCTTTTGCCTCTTTTTATGTCCCCATTGCTTAGCATAGTGCGCATTAGTAAATATTTATTGACTGACCAACAAAGATAGACTGCTCCTTGGAATGAACGGTATGAATCTCTTTTCCTCATCTTGCAGTTTCTCCATCACAGTGCATCATCTATGTGTTGATCCTTCACTATATGTATACACCAGGGCTCTGTCTCTCTGTGTTCTCATTTATTGATCCCATCACATCCCATGGGTTTTATTGTCACCTCGACACTGCTGACTCCAAAGTCTCTCTATATCTAGTCCTGATTTCTCTGAGTTCCAGTTCTTCATCTCCAAATGTCTGTTGGAAATTTCCAACTGGATATCCCACGGGCATCTCAAATTCCACATGTCCAAAATAGCTTTGTTTCTCAATCCTTCCCTTTCCCTCTTCCAAACTTCCTTGTTTTCGTCAAGGACATCACCAGCTTTCCAGGGTTCTCAACCTCAGCATTATCCTTAACTCTTCACTCTTCCTCACCTTACATATGCAATCCATTGTCAACTCTTTTATCTGCCTCCACATCTCTCTTATTTAACCCCTTCTCTCTGTTCTTGCCTGAGCTATTGCCACTCTCTCAGCCTCCAGTCTCTCACTCCAATCCATCTTCCACACAGCTGCCAAAGTGATTATCCTAAAGCACCGATCTGACTCTATCATTCCCATGCTCACAATAAACTCCAATGGCTTCCTACTGCCTCTAGAACCAAATGAAAATTCCCATTTGGCATTTAAAGCTCTTCATAACCTGACCCCAACCTCCCTATCCAGCCTTCTCTGTTATGTTACTCCCCTTCACTCACTCTGAGGCCCAGCCAAACAGGCCTCTCTGTTCTTCACCTATGATGCCCCATCTCCCATCACCATGTCTTTGCACCGGCCATCCCTGTGCCTGGAATTCCAATGCCCTCCCTCTTCACTTCTGTCTCTTAGAATCTCCTTCTTTCAAGGCTCAGCTCAAGCCTTTCCTCTTCCCTCCAGCTCCCAGAATTACCTTGGATTCATTTTATATAGATTCTCTATATACTTATAAATGAATGAATGGATGAACAAATGAAAAAGAACTTCTTAAGTTCTTACATTGGGTTAAGTGCTGGGGATACAAATATAAAAACGAATACACTCCCTGCCTTTAAGAAGCTTACATTCTAATGGGGGAAACAGGACATGGAGGAGAGGGTGGTCAGGGAGGGGTATTTTGGTTCGGAAACTTAAGAGAGATGGTGAGGGGAGTCAGGGAGGATTCAATTTTGGTACATATTGTCTCCTCAGTAGAATATAAAGTCCTTGATGACAAGAATTATGTCCTTTTTGTCTTTGTAGCCCAGCACCTAGCGCAGTGCCCTGGCACATAGTAGGTGCTTAACAAATGCTTGTTGATGGATTGGTTCATGATACACAGAGCTGTCTTAGCTGATGCTCTCAAAAATTACAGAGAAGCCCTGTGAGGGAAATGCTAGGTTCTCATATTAGGTCATGCTCTAAAGTAATTATCTAATTCTTATATGGTAAAGCGTGGTTACACTGGCAAGTTTGATATTATTGATGATCACAAGAGCAATGACTGAAAACCTTATAGGCAGATTGAACCAATATGGTATGTTGAGGTACAGCTAGGTGGCGCAGTGGATAGAGCACCGGCCCTGGAGTCAGGAGGACCTGAGTTCAAATCCGGCCTCAGATACTTGACACTTACTAGCTGTGTGACCCTGGGCAAGTCACTTAACCCCATTGCCTAGCAAAAAATTAAATTAAATTAAATTAAAAAAAAAAAACAGGTCATGCTATGTTCAGCCCCCAATTTAATTGTCAATGGAAAGTTTGGGAAGAGTGGAAGAATAATCTGCTACTGTCCCATCAATTTGGGTTCATTGTGCTTTCAACCTCATTGGCCTCATATGGACTGTGAGGAAACAGGAGGAAAAATCCAGGAATCCTTTTGTAAGTATATAAATTCCCTGGATAAAATGTGCCAAGGAACACCAGGAGAAACAGTTAATGAGCATGACTTTTATTACTGCTTGGGACTAAATTATTTTTCCTGTGAACACATCTCTGAAATTACAGTTAAGTCAGTGGGAATGATCGGATGTTTAATTTATATATAACTTTGTGGGTATACATTTAACATATAAACCAAGGTGAGGCATTTTTATTGGTCAACATCAGGGAGCAGGGGGTGGTGTTCATAGGGTCAGGAAGACACCTTCAAGAAGATCATCTAATATATCCCCCTCATTTTACAGATGAGGAAACTGAGGCCCAGAGAAGTTCAATGAGTAGCAGAGCCAGGATTCAAATATGGTTCTTCTCATGCCAAACCAGTGCTCTTTACACCCTGTATACCTCTAGAAACGGCAAGAAACACCTAATGAGAAGCACCTGAAATGTATTGAACTCCCAAGAAAAGAGACTTGAGTGATCAGCCATAGACAGTTGGTGGTGGCCAAATCCTCGGTTCCATCACTTGTCCTCATTGAACTTCACCCTCTTCTTCTTCAAAATGAGAGGGTTGGACTAGATTTACCTTAAGAGACCTTCCAGCTCTAATCCTATAGATGATTGTTGGTTAGCTTCATGTTTTAGAGATGCTTTGACTTTGTGTCCTCAAGGTCACAAGGAATATATAGATTATGCAGGGTAGAATGCCCCTTACTTTCCCTTTGCCCCCTTCTCTCTAAACATGTCTTATGTCTGGGATAGAGAAAGAAAATTCCATTCCTTTATCTTATTTTCTTCATTTACCCTACAAAGATGAACAAATAATTTTGTACCAAAGTTGGGATTACCCCCAAAATGTTACTGTGAAGTAGCTAGAAGATCCTTAATTTATTTTCACAAAAGTAATGGGTCATGCTCTGTCCTTAGCAGGGGAAATTGATGATTCTTTTTTTCTGTGACCAGGTCGTGTCATTTGTGAAGAAGAACGTACTTGTGACTGGAGGCTTTTTTGGAGGCTTTCTTCTTGGCATGGCATCCTAAGGAGGAAGGCTTTGATGACTACACTTTACATTTCTTACCCATGTCCTTCCTCAGGCTCTACTGGGCCAATCTCATAATTAGTACCTGCACTATGGGAGCAGCCTAACCCATGTGGCCATAATCCAAGCTTTAGGATGTTTGAAGAAAATAGATGATCTCGCCTCATTTGTCTCCTCGCTGTCCTTGTAGCTCTTTTGAGGGCCTGCTTTGTAACTAATTAGCTGTTTTCTAGGCCGTAAGATCAAGTTTCCTTTCCCTCCCTGTAAGACAGCTAAATGGGGAGAGATGCATTCTCAAACTCTTTAGCTGACATCAAACCTGCCAGGGACTCTTCCTGCTGGTCCCTACCTGCTGTCAATGTGTTCTGCCTTGTGGAGATGAATACATTTGCCCATTGATCATTAAAAGCTCTGACAGTTTGTGTTTTTTGTTCCTTCTTCAGTTAGTCTCAGAATGCAGAAACATGGTATGAAAGTCACTGTTGGCTTCACAGGTTTTGGGGGGCAATTGCCTTCTACTTCTAGGCATCTCAACTTGTTGCACCTGAGTCATCCTTTATATTTTGAATGTGGATGGCAGCTAACTGAATTGAAAACTCAAGACCCACCACTTAGAAAACCTTAGGTAATAAACAATTTTGGGGCAGCTAGGTGGTTCAGTGGATAGAGTGCCAGGCCTGGAGTCAGGAAGATGTGAGTTCATATCTGGCCTCAGACACTTCCTAGTTGTGTGACGCTGGGCAAGTCCCTTAACCCTGACTGCCTCAGTTTCTTCACCTATAAAATAAATTGGAGAAGGAAATAGCAAATCACTCCAGTATCTGTACCGAGAAAACCCCAAGTGGGGTCATGAAGAGTGGGACACGACCAAAATAAGTAAACAATTTGCATTATTCAGTCGTCTCTTATAGTCTTATGCTTGACCAAACTCTTGACATTTTCCTTAAGCAAAACAAAACAAAAAAAAAAACCAGCCTCATTGAATAAATACTTCAAAACCAGGACTTGAAAAGACTTTGTTTTGGACTTGGGCTGATCCCAGCAGATAAAGGAAGTTTAGAGCTTCTGAGCAGTGACAGGAAGGCACAGCTAGTGCTCTTCTGCAAATGGGGCTCTCATCGTCTCCTTACGGGAGCATATGGCAGCAGTTTTAAACTACCCCAATTTACTGCAACTGAAGCAGGTCCCTCTACCTCTCACCCTCCTGCTTGATGCCGTGGGGATTTAGCATTCAACAAGTTACCAGGAAGTAATCTTACTGGAGATCAGTTTGACAGGTGCTGAAGTGACCCCTGGTGGCCATTCGGACACATTGCAAGGTCACACGTGCAGTGTTTGCATTTGAGAATTGAAACCACTTGTGCATGCGTTAGACGTTTTTGGTGCCACACCCCCACGTTCTGTAGTAGCTGTATAACTGCATGTATAGCTGGAATATTAGAAGCACTTGACAAGCTACTGATTCAAATATCAGATGTTCTTAAATCATACTGTTGTTATGAACCACTCTCTCTGCTAGACACAGATTCTGTAAGATTTTGTGTTTTTACAAAGGAATGAATATTAATCACATTTAAGTGATCACAAAAATTCTACACTAGCCATCAGTTAGTCTGTGGTATAATTGTGGATGTAAAAGGAGCACTGGGTTCCCTGAAGGACTTGGCTTTAGATCTGTGTCTTTAATTTTGTTCAAAGCATTCAGGGAAGAGGACGCTAACTATAGCACTCAGTGGTGCCTGGGAGCCAATTTGAACCATCTTGCAAAAGATTGTTAAATTTTCATTGTGAGCCATCTCTCATATCAATGAGAAAGGCCCCCAAAAAGCACTTTAGCAAAAGTACCCCCCAAATTCCATGCCCCCAGCTCCCCTCTCCCTCACCTTTGCAGAAAAGTGGTGCTGGAGTCTGAACCAACTCCTCAGAGTCACTTGTTAAATTTTCAGTGTGAGCATTTCTGTGTACTTCAGAAATCTACAAACTACAAATCAAGCCTTAATTTAGTGTTTTGTTGATTTCTAGACTTAAGATTAAGTGGTGGAGAAAATGTTAATAATGCAGATTAAATTTAAAAGAGTGGCAGTTAAGCATTTACCAGCACACACCACCCCAACCCCAACCCCTGCCCTTTATTTGAATTCTTCTCTATCTATAAATATCAGTGATGCAAGTATGGAAGAACATGGTAAGTCTCATCACTAAAATATTATAAAGTGGTTAAAGATACTGAGCTTTATAGATATGATACAATCAAATTCAGAACTGGTTGGGTGGCTGGATTTTCAGTGTCAACACAACAAGAGATTTCCAGTGGAGTGCCCCAGGAATTTATGCTTGGCTCCTCTGAACTCATTGTTATTTTCCCCTTTAAATCCATCTGTCTTCCAAACTTCCCTCTTTATGTCGAGTTCACCACCATCCTTCTAGTCAACTGGGTTTGAAACCTCGTCATCCTTGACTCTTCCCTTTTCCCTATTGCCCACTTTGTTCATTTTCTGACTCCTTGCTCAATATCCCTTCTTCCTTTCTCTCTCCTCACAAGATCGCCATTCGGTTTTAGGCCCTGTCTTTTCCAATCACCTCCTAGAGGTCTCTCCCAACTCCAGCTGCCAGGCTGGCCTGAGCATGCCAATGTTTTGCTCAGAAAGCTCCAATTGTTTCTTATTGCCTCTAGCATCATACAGGCTCCTCTGGTGGGCATTGAAAACCCTTCATGATCTGACTCTGTTCTACCTTTCTAAGCTTGTTCCATGTTACTCCCCATCACAGACTTTGCATTCTGATCAAATTGGCTGACTTCCTGTCATTGCATAAGACAATACATTTCCTGGGTGCCTTTGCATCCCACTCTCTCCTCCCCCTGCATACTATGAATGTTCTCCTCACTTCTGCCTCTGAGATTCATTCCCTAATTCCCTTCAAAGTTTAGCTCAAGTGCCACCTCCTACATGAGGACTTTCTTGATTCTCCCTAAGCTGATAGCACTTATCCTCCCCCCCCCCGCAAATGACTTTGTATGTATTTTCTTTTTACCTCTATATGTACATATAGCTTCCTCTGATAGAACATAAGCTCCTAGAGGGTAGGGATAGCCCCAGTGCCCAAATGATTGTTGATTGTCCTAGGTCACACTAAGGGGGATGAGCAAGGACAAGAACTCAGGTTGCCACTGGTACCTCCCAAGGACTGGCCCCCATGAGTCTCCACTGTTCTTTAAGATGGTGCTAGCGGTGCTACCAATGGCAAAGACACAAGAAAAAAAAACCTGAGGGAATAAGGACAGGCATGAGGAGGCTGAACTAAATCCATCTGCCATTCATGTGATGGCTTACTTAGAGAACCAAAGAGGTTCAAAGAAAAAAAGGAGCTGAATCAGTATCAAGTGAGTCAAGTAAGTAGCAAATGAAGCAAATAATAGAATCATTAGTGTTTCTGTGTTTTACTCAAAAAAAAATCCAGGAAAAAAGAGGAATTTCACTCAAATTAACTAAAAAATCTGTAAACTATCTGGGTATTAGCCTATAAGACACAGAAGGACTTAGGTAAATACAATAAAACAACTTTACAGAAATAAAAGAAACCATAAAACAGTTGATCAACAAACATTTATTAAGCACTTACTATGGATGAGGCACTGTACTAAGCACTGGGGTTCCAAAGAAAGACAAAAACAGGGTCCCTGCCCTCAAGAAGCTCACAGTTTAATGGGGGAGACAACATACAAGATAGATACAAGGTAAATTGGAGGTCATCTCTGAGGGAAGGCACAAGCAGTGGGGGGCTGGGGGGACAATTGTAGAGACATTCATTGTTCATGGTTGGAACTGTCTGATAGAATAGAAATGATATTACCTAAATCATTTCACAGATTTAGTGTTATATCAAACTACCAACAGCTATAAACCAAGTTATAGAACTGCAGTCCATCTCTAACATTCCTTTCTTTATCCTTGTTGACATCGTCTTTATCCTTGTTGACTTTCCAGTTACCTTCCCAATTTCTGTAGGAACTTTAATATTTGGCATGTGGTCTTCCTCTCCAGTCCGTTTGTGGCCAGCAACCTCAGGAACTTTGATATTTATGTTAATGGTCCCTGAAACAAACCACATTCTCCATTCTTTAATCTTTTTAACTCCAATGAACTCCACAGATGTGCTGGTAAATGTTTAACAATCACCTCTCTGAAAAAAAAAAAAAGAAAGTATGTACAACACACTTGTGAAATCTGCATTATTAACATTTTTCTCCATCACACAATCAACAATCATCAAACAATCCAGCCTTGATTTGTAGCATTTGCTGATTTCCAAGGTGGAAATGTTCACACTAACAAGTGAGCAGTTCCAGCTGGCTCCAGCCCACCCCTGGGACCAGCCACTGCACTTTAGCCACACACATGCATAAGACCTCATCATCTCTTAGAATTACATTTATCTCTAAGATTCGGAACTTTTAAGTTCTATTCATTGACTGGACTTTACCTGGAAGGAGTTAGGAGCTATTGGAATCTTCTCAGAAGGATATGTACTGAGATAATGCTGGAGAATGATGAGAATTGTTTCCCTTGGAGCACTTCCAGTTTCCATTCCAAATGTGATCTTTTAGCTGCAAAGAAGAGAAGCACCATGGATGACAGAAGTCCTGACAAGCACCTTCCTAAATTTCCTTCGTCAGAAAACAAGATGTGAAACCAAGGAGTCAACTTGAAAACATAACAGGCATATTATGCTGCCTGTACTCCACTTGGGTCATCCCCACCTGAGAATGGAATGCTTCTCCCTCGAGCCAACCTATCCTTTGATCTTGCTTGGTTGGAGGCTTCCTGGATGTTTCCATCCATGCCATGGGTGGTATGCCTCACCCTACCAGCTTTCCTTTATGTGTTCTTTTCCACCAGTCGATTGTGAACTCCTTGAGGGCAGAGACTATCTTTATTGCTTTTATTTGTACCCTCTGGCACATAGTAGGCACTTCATCAATGTTTTATCATCTATCTGTCTCTCTGACTACAGCCTTTTATCTTTTCAATTCTTTTACTATTTCATTTTTATCCTATTTCTCACTCTTTATCATGGCCCCTGATCCTTGGCAGGGCCATCCGTAGTGTGTGCAGGAGGGTGGGAGGTGGGAAAAATTTTTTGGGGGGGGCCCTCTGTCTACATAAACAATTTGATTTAAATGTATTACAAAATTTATCAGCCCACCTGAAGGATACTGATTTAGTGATGGAGATTTAGAATAATTAGCTCACAACATTCACCTCTGCATAAGAAGTATTGTGATTTAAAACCCTGAACTATACAGTGCCAAAATGACTGTCCACATGTGGCTCATTCTTGTGCTCTATAAGACCATTCCATTCTTCATGCAGCTGCTCAATCAATATTCCTAAAATACAGGCTTGAAAAGGTCATTTCTT